CTGCTTTCAATGCTGGCCTCTGCTGCCCTCTCTGTGCAGCTGTCTGTGCTGATTGATCAGATTGAGACAGTCTTAAGGGAACTGCATAGACAATGAAGAACTGTGTGATGCTCCTGATCCAAATTCACTATTTTGAGCTGTATCTAAATTTGAATCCATCTGTCATGTCTCTACAAGATGAAATAGCATAACTATAACATATTTCATAGATGTAAGTACTAAGTAAAAGAAAAACTGAATAAATAAACTAACATGAATGAAAACAACAATACGAATTTATGTATAGATGCATTCAAAGTATTAATCCTATTAATTACCTATTCACTAATTATAGTCTGCATATATTATTTCAGAATTACAATATTGGAGGGATAAACTTTTTATCTTTAAATAAACTTGAGTATTTCTCTTTTCAACTTATTTTTGTGATGAGTTGGCCATGACCCAAAGGCTGTGGCATGTCAACTTCACTGTACTGAAAGGTAAGCTTACTTGCATTTTCTCTGTTCTTCTAGTTCAATATATTCTATACCTACGTTCTGATATACATTATCATACTCATCATTTATTAATTAATGTTCAAACTTTGATCTAGTCATGTTTGACTAGAGACAATGTTTGCTTGAGACAAATATAAAAAACTTCGTGTGTTTTTCCTCTGCATGATATTTTACTTGATGTTTTGCCAAGAGAACACTGAAGCCATTTATTTACAGCCTAGGGTATTACTGAATTAAAATTGATGCTCCTGGGATTCTTGGAATATTTTCTGCAGCTCACACAGTATTGTTTATGTCAAAAATCCTGTTATAAAAATTAACTCAATTGTTTAAAAGGATCAAGCATCATAGGTAATATTGTAATTTCCCTTACAAACCAATATTTCACTTCCCAATTTCACTACGGTATCCCCTTACTGGCTATATTATAGAGCATTGTAATTGGTACTTGGTTGTTTGACCATAATAAGCCAGCGATCTTTGATTACAATAAATAAATTTACTTACATATAGTTGAGAGATTTTAAAGTAATTATCTCAAGATATATACAATCAAAGATGGCTTAAACAATGCCTATCATTCTTATCCTTTTGCAAAGTGCAGACATCAATCCAGTTGTAAATATAGTTATTTGTTTTGTGTCATGCAGTAGCTCAGTGAAGATGAACATCATGCGCAAGTGGTGGGGGGCGGGTGGGAGGCCTGAGGATGGGCTGGATGGCTCCCAGCTGCTGGAGCAACAGCATCAGCAACAGAGACACTTGGCGCTTGGTCTGATGCACCTCAAGAAGCTCTTCAGTGAAATCCTGCATCCTGCACACCCGCTCTCTGAAGATGAGAGAGAGGACAAGCTCTATAACATGCTGCCTCTCTTCTGCAAGGTCTTCTCCAATAGCTCGCCTACAGATCTTGTTGAGAAATTTGAAGACGTATTACTGTTCACTCAGCACGTTAGCAAACTCATGGTAACTGAAATAAGAAGGCGGGCCAGCAACCAGTCGACAGCGGCTGCCTCGTGTGCCATCGTGCGCTTCCTTGAGATGGAAGGAGAGGAGGAGGGGGTGGACAGCATCCCTAGCTCTGGAGGATGGCTGCTGCTCAATGCCCTCAACCTCCTTGCTGACGGCCCTCCTGCAATCATTGAGGTGCTCATGTAGAGTTTTTTATATAATAACTTGGCTACAAAACCATCCATTCATTCAATTTTATTTAGAAAAGTATCTAACTGAATTTTATTCGGAAAAGTATCTAACTGATATTTAACTTTAAAGTCAGACATAAATTTTATTGAAACCTTAGAAGTCTCATAGAGCACTTTCAACATTTTTATTTCAGGTTGAAGTCTGTAGCTGAAATTGTTTATTGTCTTGAACTATTTTCATTCTTCAACTTGAGATCAGAATATGCTTGCTGCTGGCACACTTTGATAGAAACATATAAATAATTTATCCATTAAAATATTCTCATCTTAAGGGTAAATATTTTGAACACTTTTTTTTAATTGTAATTAAGAATTTCTTGCTGTTCAATGAATTACTTACTCAAAGGATTATTTACCTCACAGCTTATTACCAACTTTTAGTGTTTTTCTACTAACAAGTCTCATGTTTACTTGCCTAATATGATTATTAATTGGTGTTCAGGTGATGACAGTGAGCTCCTTGCCATCCACACTAGTAAAGTGCCTCTACCTCTTCTTCGACCTCCCTGACCCTGACTCAGCTGACTCAGAGAATGCAAATGCTGAGTCAAACCTCAATAAAAAGAGTCACAGTTCTCCCCTTCACCTCCCACTTGATACTTCCAAGACTGGTGGGCAACAGTCAGCACTCCAGAGTACTGCAAGTGATGCATCATCATGTGGAGCAGCTATTGTACCTGCCACCACTGATCGCAGGTTGCTGCTGCAGAAGGTCTTTGTTCAGGTTCGTTTTTGTCCTTTGAAGTTGTTCTTTTGGTGGTGTTCTATTGGTTCTTCTTCTTAGAATTTGTTCCATTAGTACTGTGGGACCCTGCTTCTTGACCTGACCAAACGTTCAGCTGACGTGACTCCTGCCTTCTCATCTTAAGGTGTATTGATGTCAGGTACCAATGGTGACGTTATAAGTTGTTCATGCTGAAGTATTGATGCTAGGTGATGTATTGAAGCCACAGGTGATATTGGGTCAATGCCACATGTGATGTTGACGTTTCAAGTTATTAATGCTGAATTTGTGTTGATGCTTTTGTTGTGCTGATGCCACAGCTGATGTTGTGTCAATGCCACATGTGATGTTGACGTTTCAAGTTGTTTATACTAAATATGTGGGTTGATGCCACAGGTAATGCTGAGGCTGTGTTCACACACGGGTCCTGCAGAAGAGCTCGCCCGTAAGGACGACCTCAGCTTGCTGTTCAGCGCCAGCACCTCAGGCTGCCCCCCACACAACTGCGTCTGGCGCAGGAGTGCGGCTGAGGTCCTCATGGCTGTGTCCCGACACGGCCTCTCCCAGCCTGTCATCTCATACATACACAGTTAGTATGGCATGAATTGAGTGTGTATGGCATGAATTGAGTGTGTATGGCATAAGTAAATTTTGTGCAGCATGAGGCAAGTGCGTATGTTGTGAGTCGAGTGTGAATGGTGTCATGATATGGAATGGCAGATGTTCTATCAATGACCTAATAGAATAGATATTATATCAGGCCATTATATTATGTGGTATGGCCATTCGCTTGCCACAGCAAAAATTCTCAACAACTTGGAACATTACTCATGGTGTATCCAATAGTCAAAAGGGTTTCTTATAGGAAATTCTTCAGCCCTGAATTCTCTGTATGATTGATTTTTGTTTACTGGAGCAACTATATCAATTACGGTACATTTTAAATGAAAAAATTGCAATAATTCTATTTTTCGTGTTCACTTTAAGCCTATGTGGATAGTTGTGTTGCTTGCAACATCAGCGTGTAAGGTTTCATCATACCCTCTGTGTGGCAGGCAAAGGCTGCATCGCCCTCTGCGTGGAGAACATGGAGAGGACGCAGGACCTCTCACCCCTCGAGATCGTCGAGATGCTCGTCGCCATCTTCTGCTTCCTCAAAGACTCTGCCGACTGCTCACAAGTCCTCTTGGACGACTTCAAGTCTGCTCAAGGATATGCTTTCCTCGTCGACTTTATTCTCAGGTGGATCTTCGTCGCCACGCCACTATAGAACGCCACTTGCTTGTGATGGGCTTGGTCCTCAGGGTCTGGAGTGCTAACATATATTTCAAACCACGGTCTCTAGAATGTCAGAGCACTTTTTTCTTCTCTTAACTATTAAACCTCTGGTGTCGGTATAAGTTTTAACCCTCATAGCCTTGTAGGCTTGCGCACAATTTACCCGTCTTGAACTTATGTGCTGGATACAATCCACCATAACCAACTTATGGGTGGACATTGAATTTGAATGAATGAATTGAATTGAATTTCAATGAAGTACATTGAAAGAATGGCCAGGGGATAGATTTGACCATCCCAATCTTTTTACGAGACGACGTGCTAGATTCTGTTGCACTCGTTGTGTACTGCCAGGGAGAAATACGAGGCATGTTTTTTAAGTAANCAGGAAGAAGAAATTTCAGGCGTTTTTCAGCAGAATTTAACCTCCATTTCGGCAGAATTCAGAATTTCACCTCCAAATCAGGCGGCAGAATTTTATCAGGTGGAGATTCAAAAACTGGTGCCACGTTATGACAAGTGCCTCAATATTCACGGAAATTACCCTATGTAGAAAAGTAGATTAAGGTACAAGCTTTCATGTAAAAACAAAATTATTGCGATATCTTTGCACGTCTTTTTTTAATTCCAAAACGGTCCTTGCTTGAAAAACATGCCTCGTAGTTACATTCACTTGCATATAATAATTGTTTTCAGGCATACATATTTCATATTAAATCGTTTTTTTTCTCGTCTCTGACTGATGGTTTTCCATTTTGATGTTATTTGAAACCTTCTAATTTTATTGGCATCAGGATATTTTGTGTGAGTTGGAAGTTTCTCTGCTGCGCAGACTGGAGCACGAGAGCTTGGCGTCCAACAGTGGCATGTGCAGTCCAGCTGGTGACAGCAGCTGCAGTAGTGGCAACAGCAACGCTGTCACCCCTGCCTCCACCCTCACCAACAGGTACAGTAGTGACAGCAGCTGCAGTAGTTGCCACAGCAACGCTGCCAACAGATACAACAGGTAAAATAATGTGATAGCAGTAGATATTTCCCTTTATGATAGCTTGAAAATAAAACGTACACAATTTGCAAAAATTGTAAAAGTGAGCCGGCGTATTCTGCGACCTCTCTGAAGCCCCATGACTTCCGCATTAATCTAGTACCTTCCCCCCGCTCTAGTGCTCATCTAGTACTCCCTCTCGCTCCTTGTGTCCATCAACTGAAGTAGTTCCTGCTCATCAGCGATGTAGGAGTTAATAAAGAAACTGTTTTGAAACCTTGCGTTCTTTCAAGCTCAACAACGATTTTTCGAAGTGAATTTCGAATTTGGCACGATAGTGTGCAGGTTTTTCTGTGTGCAGTGAAGGGACCGATGCACTGCGCAACCTGGTACTGCTCGTGGCGTCTCTGTGCTACTGCGGCCACAGCCAGCCAAGGCCGTCACTGCACCCCAGCACTGCGCTCTACACGGTGCCTGGCTTCGTGCTGCCCACCCCCAGCAATAAAGGTTGGCATGCTTTGGCTTTGAGGCTACATAGACCCTGGTGATACATAGACCCTGGACGCTTTGGACAGAAACTTGTATGAACAAAACTGGCATCGTTCAAACTAGTCCATACACGTCTGAAAGCGGCAAATTTTGTGTAATGGTGTCTTTAGAGTCATGAGAGCTTAGTTCATGCCGTCTTGTTCTTGCCCCCCGCCAAAACGACGACTCCCCTCCCCAGGGTGCAGTGTCCGCAACGTGGCGGCGTTCGGGGTGCTGCAGGTGGTGTTCTGTAGGGCGTCGTCCGCCACGCTGGCCGCCTGCGTGCTGGACGCCATCTCGTCCATCTACCACGCCGACCCCGCCAACTACTTCATCCTCGAGCCCCAGGCCACGCTGTCCTCCTTCGCTGAGACCATGCACGCCCGCCCCCACCACGTCCAGGTGGGTCATGTGATGCCCCACAACGTCCAGGTGGGTCATGTGATGCCCCACAACGTCCAGGTGGGTCATGTGATGCCCCACCACGTCCAGGTGGGTCATGTGTCCACGCAAAGGTGGGTCATGTGATGCCCCGCCACGCAAAGGTGGGTCATGTGATGCCCCACCACGTCCAGGTGGGTCATGTGATGCCTTGCCACGCAAAGGTGGGTCATGTGATGCCCCGCCACGTCCAGGTGGGTCATATGATGCCCCGCCACGTCCAGGTGGGTCATGTGCTCATCTAAGATGACGTTGATGAGGTTCATTATGAGGTCACTCCTGACTCACAGCCACCCAGACCTGACTCCCTGACTCACAGCCACCCAGACCTGACTCACAGCCACCCAGACCTGACTCCCTGACTCGCAGCCACCCAGACCTGACTCCCTGACTCACAGCCACCCAGACCTGACTCCCTGACTCACAGCCACCCAGACCTGACTCCCTGACTCACAGCCACCCAGACCTGACTCCCTGACTCACAGCCACCCAGACCTGACTCCCTGACTCACAGCCACCCAGACCTGACTCCCTGACTCACAGCCACCCAGACCTGACTCCCTGACTCACAGCCACCCAGACCTGACTCCCTGACTCACAGCCACCCAGACCTGACTCCCTGACTCACAGCCACCCAGACCTGACTCCCTGACTCACAGCCACCCAGACCTGACTCCCTGACTCACAGCCACCCAGACCTGACTCCCTGACTCACAGCCACCCAGACCTGACTCCCTGACTCACAGCCACCCAGACCTGACTCCCTGACTCACAGCCACCCAGACCTGACTCCCTGACTCACAGCCACCCAGACCTGACTCCCTGACTCACAGCCACCCAGACCTGACTCCCTGACTCACAGCCACCCAGACCTGACTCCCTGACTCACAGCCACCCAGACCTGACTCCCTGCCTCACAGCCACCCAGACCTGACCCCCTGCCTCACAGCCACCCAGACCTGACTCCCTGCCTCACAGCCACCCAGACCTGAGGTTGCACAAGGCGATTGCTACTGGCGACAAGGTCGGACTGTAATGTTACTGAGGCGGCCTTGCCAGACTCGACTGAACAATTTAACCTACTGGATCTACTAAACAATATACCAATGAGATTAACAAATGAATGATGGTACTAAAACGAGTATTGATAATGGATGACATTCATAGTTCACAACATGCGTTATGACATCATGATCAGAATATGCTTGTTGTTCAGTAATAATGTTTGTGTGCAGGTGAAGTACCTGGAGCTGGTAGAGCTGGTCGTGTTCGAGCTGAACCACGTGCCCTGCAAGGAGCTAATCTCACTGTCCCTGCTGCTGAAGGCCCACCACACCTCCTCCCCCAGCACCGTGCTGCTCTTGTCTCTTATACACATCTAGATGTGTATAAGAGACAGATATAGATGTTTGTTTTGTGTCATGC